TGCAACTCTGCTCAGTATAGCATATGAACAAAGTTACAAATTTTCACTTGGCTTTCCAGAAGTATCTACTTTGCTCTGAATGCCTTGATAAGTGCAAATAAATCACAGACTAAGTTATTTTCACCCTGCAACTTTAAATTCAAATGGTTCATATGGTTCACCAGATCAGCAAAAAATGCTAATTTCCAAAGCCACTCTGTATCTGATAAAAGTGGTTCGTGATGGTTTTTCTCGATAAGAAATATATCAATTTTATTCCTGAGCTAAAAGAAGCGCGAGAGAACCTTTCCACAGTTAGCCATCGAACCGCAGTATAATATGTCAGGACAATAAGATCGGAATCACATTTACCAGTACTTACTGGAAAATTAGTTCAATTGGTGCATTTCTGCACAATTCTTTCGCAGGCCAGATAAAATCACATCACGGGCCGTAGTTTGGAAACCCTTGCTCTAAAACATAGACTTACTGCACAGCTTTCATGTCATAGCTCAGCAGTATAGTGAAGTTGTGCACTAGCATGGGGCACAGTGCCCCTATACTCACTGCCTCTGCCAACTAGAATTCTACTAAAATTTTAATAAACAGAAATCATAATAATATGCAGAAACTGAAACTTTCATTCAGTTCTGAAACTTCCATTGAAAACATTTTTTTTTTATTCAGGACAGCGTGACAATTTCAAAAAGTGAACAGTTGCCTCAAGATGGCCAAGTAGTGCCGAAGCATATAGCAATTGGTGTGATTTTAATGGCATTTTAAATTAAAGAGAGATTGTGAACAATTTTAAGTTGCAGTGAAGACTGATGTGAATGTGTGAGTGACCGTTACAGAGGAGGTCAGATAAGTGCTTTAACCTTTAAACGCCAGACTTCTGAATTAGTGGTAAGCTTGAGCTGGCCAGATTTTATTTAAATGCCCGCTGGTGGTGCGCGTTTAAATGCCCGTTGCTACTCTGCGTTTAAATGTATGTTTCTGTTAGTGTGCCTAAACAATTTAAGCTTTGTGTTTACAAATGCTGTATCTAACTCAATTTTTATGATAAATGGATGGAATTAATTTTGTTTGTATCAGCAAAGAACATACTGTCGCATATTATAACGGAAGATTTGAAATTTTTTATACAAATTATACTCTATTTTGAATATTTTGTCTTTTAATTTTGATGAGTACTGCATAAATGGTTTCTCAGTTCTTCACAGAGTTGTTCTGCATTACAAATTCATTTCTGTTTGTAACAATTGACAAATTTTAGCAGTTCCTGATGTCATAAAACAGATGGAAGCCATAAAATCATTTGGTCTTCTGCTAGCACTACTTAAACTCTTCGGATTTTCGAATCTTTTGACTGAAGGTCAGAAGAATGAAAGAATGGCTATTCAAGAGAAAGCTAGAGGAGTCCCTTCTTCAGTGCTAAGACCTTCCGTTATAGCTGCAAAAGCTTATTGCCCTTTCTATGGGCTTGAACACACAGCTGCATCGCGGCTGAGATTCAGAGTGCGGTCTGTTTTCTGTGCGTGCTTAGTGAAATCGAATACTGTAGTTTTATTTCAGCCTCTATATACATCAAACAGATAGCAACAAAAAAGGTATGTACATCGAATTTTACTATATATTTTTAACAAATTACTCTGCAGAATCTGCAATAAAAGTAGTGGCTCATGGATGAGTTTGGGCATAACTCATACGTATACTCTTTTTGTTGTTGTTCAGTTGGGTATCATTTTAATTTTTTCTATAGGGCTTTACTCAAGTCTGTCTGGTAATTACTGCATTTAAAAATAAATATTTAGGACTGTGCATTCGCTTCTACTAGCAGCGTGTGCGCTTCCCTTAGCGGAGTTTAAATGCCTTACTGGCCAAAACAGGTTACTTTGGCCACGACAACCTTACTCACCACTGGCACAAACGGGGCACTTCGGCACTTAAAGGTTAAATTAAGTTTGCAAATACGCAGGTCGTACTGAAAGTCATGAGCAACTTCCTTTTGCATGCAACCCGGGAACAGCAGATGAAAGAGAGTAAGGTGGTAGGTGGAACCAACTGTTGTGTAAACCTTGAGTGTCTTGTGACGTCAGTAGCTTGCATCACGTGACCAGTATCACTCCTAACAAAATGGCCAACAATGATATGTTGTTTCGCCAGTGTGCTGTCATTGAATTTCTTGTGAAAGAGGAAATCCCTGCTGCAGAAATTCACCAGAGACTTCAGCGTGCTTATGGAAGTGTGTGCATGGGTGTGAGCAGTGTTCGAAGATGGGTGAAACATTTTAAAGATGGGAACACCAGCATCGAAGATGAGCCTCGGAGAGGTCATCCTCGAACAGCGTCGACTGAACACAACAAGAGAAGAGTGGATGAGATCATTCAAGATGACAGCCATGTGACTGAGGACACAGTAGCCTGAAAACTTGGAATAGGGCACAGTGCAGTACAGGAGATGATTGAAAGCTTGGGCTATAGGAAACTTTGTGCTCGTTGGGTTCCGCGGTTATTGACCGAAGGCCACAAAGGTCAGTGAAAATCCATCACCTCAGAACTGCTGCAGAGCTATCGACATGAAGGCGATGATTTTTTGCTCTGTATTGTGACAGGTGATGAAAGCTGGTTTCACCATTTTGAGCCTGAAACGAAATGAAACAGCAGAGTATGGAATGGCACCATTTGCATTCTCTATCAAAAAAGAAGGCAAAGACAGTGCCGTCAGCTGCGAAGGTGATGGGCACAGTCTTCTGGGATGCAGAGGGGTTTATTCTGGCCGAATTCCTGGAATCTGGGCAAACCATCAATGCTGCTTGTTATGTCCAGACGCTGCACAAGCTCCGTCGTGCATTGCACGATAAATGTCCAGGATGAAACATCATCATCCTGCATGACAATGCTCGCCCCCACACCACTCGCCACACATTGGAAGCAATTGCAAAGATGGGGTGGGAAGTTCTTCCACACCCCTCCTATAGCCCTGATCTGGCACCCTCTGACTACCATCTTTTCGGATTTGTGAAGGATCAGCTGTGTGGACAACGTTTTGAGACAAGAGAGGCAATTCAGAAAGCAGTGCATCAGTGTCTCCGGATGCCTGGAACAGAATTTTACAGAAGGGGAATTTTCAAACTCCCAGAAC